GGGAATAATGACGTTAGTAATCTGCTCAAGGTGTTTCTTTCTAGAGTTTCAGACATTGTGGGACTAGATCTACGTAGTTTCCCCAAGACTATCTTGTAAGGAAGACCCCAGGGGTCTTTATCTATTGTGTGAATGAGCTCACCCCATGATTTATTCTTAGCCTGTTTAATGGCTTTACGTAAAGCTCTCTTAGCTATCCTATATGCGGATTCCGCTTCATCTATTAAGATTCTATTTCGTCTACTACGAACCAAATGCCTGCGCGCTTTGACGGAGTTAGCTCTTAAGTTGGCGATTTCATCTGACCACCAAAATGAGAGCCTACGGTTTTTCCTAATCGACACTATGGGGGTTGAGATATTACATGAATCTTTCATTATTTTAGTTATCCATTTTGAATAAAGCTCAGGAGAGCGCAAAGTTTCTTCAGATACTTGAGTTGTAGCTAGGAATTCTAAGGAGTTAACAAATGATTCTACGTCCATCTTTTTAAAGTTCCATCTTTTGTTAGTTGGAAGTTCATAACTTTTGTTTTTGTCCAAAACCTCAAAATTGACATACAAGTGATCCGATAAGGATTCAAGGTCCTCACGAACTCTCCAATTACTTATACGTTCAAAAATTCCAGATGAGGCCCAGGTTAAGTCAACAACAGAACTACCTTGAGGCCTAATGCATGTAAAAGCACCATCCTTATTTATAAGACGCAAATCTCCGGAAGCAGCCCAACGCTCCAGCAGGGCTCCCCTTCTATTGGTATGGGAGGAACCCCAGAGAACCGAATGGGCATTAAAATCGCCACCGATGATAAAAGGACCCGGAAGAGCATTCATACAGCAATTTATGCTTTCCAATATATCCTCAAATACCATAGTTGTAACATTGGGCGAAATGTAACAAGAAAGCACATAAAATTTATTGCATTTAATGGCGACAAAACCAACTCCGCTTCTGACCAGTCTACACATGTCTCCCGTAAGTTTAGGGCTATCCAGATTCCAGTAAATTGCTGCCAACTTATCCAAACTGGGAAACCAACAATTGGAAGACATAACGTTAATGGGAGGTTCCGATATAATGGATAGTTTGATCTCTGATTCTAAAACATTCTGTTTGAGCAAATCAAAAGCTGTCCAACTATGATTTAGGTTGACTTGAACAAATTTAAAGCTCATTATCTATAAGATTGGGAACTCTGCATTTGCACGGTTCCTCCAGTCGTGCGATTTACTATTCTACTTACATTTTGGATTTCACAAGGAAAACCTTGATTTTTCATACACCTCATCGAGCCAATTCTATGTCTATGCTCATTATTAGATTCAGCGCAAATTACACATTTAGGCATAGCCGTGCACATGCGTGCCAAATGACCCGCCTCGCCGCAACGGAAACACGTTCCTGTTCGATCGATCTCGGATTTACAATTCGTTCGAGCGTGACCAAATCTCCAACAACGGAAACATTGTATCGGGCGCTTTTTCATTAACTCTATACGAACCATCGTCCATCCAAGGGTTATATTACCCTTTTCCGCAATTTTAATGGCATATTCCAGTGGGCAATGAGCCCATGCAATACCCATGCCATCTCTCATTACACTAATGGGACTCACCTTAAGGTCGCGGGGGGGACATCCACTGAGCTTCTCAAGTTCATAGGAGATTTCCTCTTGTGAAGTTGCCGGATCAATCCCGCGTAGCCTAATTTCACCAGATGTCACAGGATTTTTAACTAAGGCATCATCCTTAAGCACTCCCTCTAGAGTATCTCGCAAAGAACCGGCAAGTCTTTTCCCCTCCGGACCGGGGAGTTCCATGACTAAGGCGCCATTCATTGCCCTGCGCATGCGTAGATTTTGGATGCCTAAACTTGAAAGTGAGATATTTTGTTTAGCTTTACTAAGTATCTCGGCATATGTTGCCCCACCAGGCTTTCCGGTAATTGTAACAACAGCCGTTTTAATCGCTCTAGGTTTAAATTTAGATGCATTAACATTTTTAGTTTTTATAGCTTTAATTTTATTCCTGTTGGATGCTGTAGCGCTGGTCTCTGAGTCCGGAGTTTCATTAGGTTGATTCATTTTTAAAAGCGTTTTATTCTCCTGAACGCGCTTCTTTTTAACCTTATTGGGTGCTAATTTCCATTCTTTATTTTTATCTTTCTGATGCGAGTTTTCACTGCTAGAGGGAGCCGAGTAGAACAATGGAGGAGCAAGTTGCTTGTTCTCAACCAGCTTAATATCTTTCCTATGTGGAACAAAGGGACTAGTTACCTCTAAACCACTCTTAATGTTATTCGCGCAAGGTTTATCAGTCTCAGCATGAGATTCCTGCGCAGATGTCAGTGCAGTAGTCCATTCCATAGATCCAGGTCCAAGAGGCCAGTCTTCGTCTTCACGTTGGGTGTCGGCGGTGTCCCTTGAGCATCCGGGAGTAGGACTTTTTCCTACGTTGATTTGCCTCTTAGGGCTTTCTTCCAGCTGAGATATACGGCTATGACGTATATGTTCTACCTTTTTAGAAGAAGAGCTAGCATAGGTTTTTGTGCCAGAAGGCATATTAACCCGTTGGGGAGAAGGACCCCATCCCTCTTTAAGTGCATTAACCTCTTTTTCTAGATTGATTATGCTTCTTCTTAGATCTACGATTTCCTGTTCTTGTCTAGTAGTTTTCCTCCTTGCCTCAGCAAGATCTTCTCTCAGTTTCAAATTTTGTGTTCTCAGGTATGTTACATCTCCAGTCGCTTCCAATTTCTCAACTAATGCTTCAATAATATTAGAAGCAGATATGTTACAATCTTTCATCATACCGTCAACTCTGCCGGATAGATTGCCACACATATACCTTTGTCTCTCTATTTCCGCCAGATGTGCAAGGCCGGCTTCACCGAGCTCGACACTGCTCAGCTTGAGCCATTCTTCACGGGAGTATTCTCTTTCAATTTTTGCTTTATCTTTGTTAATGATTTCGGGAATTTTCTTTTTACCTCTAGGAGTGGCAATTGGATTTTTGAGGGTTTTATCCATTTCTCGCATGCTTTTAATTTTAGTTTTCTTTTTAGCTTCAGATATTTGTGAGATCCTACTGCCATTTTCTTCTTCCGAAGTATTTTCAGTATTTCTAGGAGCGATATTCGTCTTACTCTTTTTATGTCTTGATTTGGATTTGTCCGTTACTTCAATTGACTTCATTCCTTCAGATGAAAGGGTTATATTTTCCGTAGAATCTTCTTGTAGTGAAGGGTCTTCTGCCTTTCTGTATTCTATTCTCTTTTTCCTATATTTCTTTGCATCTTCATATGTATCGCAAGAGCGATTCATTAAATCAGTTAAATTTTCCTCATCTGTATCTTTAGACGAACTACTATCAATTATTGATGATTTAAACGGCATGTTTGCCTTCTCTTTATTTATATTTTTACTTAGTTTGTTTTCTCTAGAAGCTATTAATTTCCTAAATTTATCAGATTTAGGAGAAGTCTCTTCTTTACTTTTTTTCATGGCACTTCGAGTAAGCATTAATTCTTTTTCCCTACTAGCAGAAATTGTGAAAGAGCGTTCTCCAGAATTTGTCTCGTCGGAGCATAGACTGATATGATCAATTATATTAGTCCCCTCCTGTTTCATTTCAACCATAGGGGATTCGCTGTGAACAGCTCTAGCTTTGTGTGGTCTACGTGTCAATGCCTCTGTTTCCCCATCTCTCGATTCCGGAGAAGCTGAGGCCTTTCTCTTCCCCCCCACCGGAGTCAATAAGACGGTTTCCTCCTGTATTTCGGGATGAGCTTTTCCAGCTTCAAGAGGTGTGATGACAGAAGGTTCCTCTTCCCGTTCGTCTAGTGAGGGATTGTTCTCTATATTCTCTATAATTTCGGCAGCAGTTGCATTTTCCTCACACACGCCCGCTGCACCCATGTGTGAGTACCCCTCGCAGGATGACGACCTGACGACGCCGGGTACCACGTCGCCGAGCCGGCCCGAGGTTCCGAACTCCTCGGAAGTTTTATCTACGTTATCTGACATATCCATAGAATTATATTGGGTTTTTATTCGGGGGGCCCCTCCCCTAGGGCGGAATTCGTTTGAACTCAAGGTCCGTCCAACCTCATAAGGATCCTTGATTTCGCCGGGATCCAGAAAAACCGAAGACGACGAGTCCCTCCTAATGCCCTGCGGAGCTTGGTAAGGCAAGATTGTAGAGGCGTCTTCAATTTGTGTTGAGATTTCAAGCAGGAGCTTTTCTTTTTGTGCAATCTCCTCGCTAAGTTTGCTCAATTTGCGCTCCGAATCATTAATACCACGAAGGATGGAGTCGTGGTCTAAATAGCCTAACAAATCACTACCATTATTTACTAGGGAATTCACTCCTAAATCGCTACAAATACCCGATAAATTACGAGTTTCCTTCTCAGTGGAAGCATTTCTTAAGACGCTAATTTCAAGGTTAAGTTCTTTTTCTTTTATCATTAAAGTTTCGACCTTGCGTAGTAAATATTCGCGCGCCGATGACATCATCTTACAGTGATCATATAGCATACGAGAGTGCGCCATGTTAATTTGAATTACACGGCGTACATGAGCATAATTACGATTCAAGAATAAATCCTCCAATCTATAAAGAGTGCGTGTTATACGGCTAAATAATTCGTCAGGAGTTGTTCCCTGTCGCATCAGGTTTTGTATATAACCTTCAATATCAAAATAATTATCCATAATTATACTAAGAGTACGCAAACATTGAACATAGCTATCAGTACAGTAATATGTCTTATACTTTATACCTCATACATAACTATAACTAATTATAAACAGCAAACAATTGTCGCAACTAAACTAAATAATTTCATAATCTTAATTAATACACATAGTGTCTATGTATACACAATGTTTAGTATAAATATTGTACCATAATTCAGCTTATATTTAATTATGATCAAACAAAAAACCAAAACTGTGGCAGGGTGGGGGAAGTCAAAAGGATGCCAACCCGCCTGGTGCGCATCCTCCCAGAAGTTCCCCCTTCTACTGCGCAGCCACTAAACTTTGGACCAATGGTACCCAGAATATAACTTTACTCTTATTGGCGATTACGCCTGTGAGCTCCAAATGTTCTTACGAAGCTGGATTTGTTCTCTACGCTGTAGAAGACCCTCTCACAGAGTCAGCCATTTTAATAAATTTTTATCCGTAATTAGTATTAATAATCACAATTACTCTCAAAAACCAATATTTATTATCAAAAACTTTATGGTGGAGTAACAACTAAGTAATATGTATTATTTGTCCAAAAGAAGGATAAGAAAAGAAAAGAAAAGAAAAATTAACTTAAACTACTTATATAAAGGCTGTTTATAACATCCATAAACAATATTCGCAATAATTATAATATTCTTAAAAATTTAACTAATAAACAGTTAACTACTATCTTAACACATATCGTTCTATGTTATTACTGATAAGAATTCATTATACATCACCCTAGTGTATTTCAGATGTACCTTAGTCTTACGAACACATCATGCGAACGCGGCTTAATGGTCAATCTAGTGACTTTCCGCTCTAGGCTTATATAGTTATAGGCCACCTGTCAAAACAACGTGGTCACGTAGCAATAGCGAGCGCGTTGCATATTAACAAAATTAACATCTAAATGTCAGTGTTTCTGTGATAATTACATCTTTTTCTGTTTGCAGAGGCTGAGCACAGAAGTATAAGAGAGAATCGGGGTGATTAAACTATCTATTAAGACAACGTGCCGGTAGATCGATTTATCGAAAGTGCAGTCAACTGCAGGGACAATTAGCGATCTGTACAGAATACGGTTTATAATACATCGTAAATAGACGATATCTCATGAAAAAGACGCAGGGGGAAGTTACCACGCATCCATTATCATCTAAGTATTATCATAATATCTTATAAAATATATAAGCTCACGGTAAGCAAATAACTAAGATTTATCAATAATATTAAGGATAATATTCAACTGACTAATCAATTATTTTCCTATTATGTATTAGGCACCGTAAAAGGCGAACCGAGAGACCTCAATAGCCCCCTATATAGGTTAACCTCACTTCAATCAAAAAGCCAGTCAACAATGTCTATTCCGTTTGCTGTTTATAATACATTGCTAATAACCAATGTCTCACACAAAAAGCCATAAGGAGACGT